CCTGGCACTTAGCAGGCCCTAAATAAATATTCACTAAATAAAGCATGAATCTATCTTTTATGGGAATGTCAGACTATATCTCTTAAAAAATGTAAAATCCAAGGGGCTGGCCCCGTGGCCGAGTGGTTAAGTTCGCGCTCCACTGCAGGCGGCCCAGTGTTTCGTTGGTTCGAATCCTGGGCGCGGACATGGCACTGCTCATCAAACCACGCTGAGGCAGCGTCCCACATGCCACAACTAGAAGGACCCACAACGAAAAATATACAACTATGTACCGGGGGGCTTTGGGGAGAAAAAGGAAAAAAAATAAATAAAATCTTTAAAAAAAAAAAAAAATGTAAAATCCAAGTTTATGGTCAAACAAAAAACAAGAAGTAAAGGAATGTTTCTCTCTTAAAGATATGATATTCTACTGTGCAACATATTTCAGTTCCAAAAGGAGATGTATCCCAAATGAATAGTTACATCAACTCCATTTTGGAAATAAGTAATGTATATAATCATGAATAATTTTTTAATTGCATATTTTACTTTTAAAGAGGGATAAGAGAGGACAATACTTCTGGCCTAAAAACTGTGTATCACATCAAAACATTATACACTCATTTCAAAGATTCCTAAAAACTAATTTAAAAAAATATATTGTCTTTTAGTTAAATTCAATAAAAACTTTTTTTCCAAAGGCTCAATAAATTAAACATTCTGTCTTACCAGACCAATTTATGTTTGTAGATATTACCTAAGTCATTCCACTTTATATCAAGTTGTTTAACATAGGCCCCTCATAAGAAAGTAAATACAAGTCGATTTTAAGATCAATGGATAGAATCAGAGCCTTTGTCTGCATCTTCTTACTCTACCCCACACATTAACGGAGCTCAAATTATAATAGTAAATGTTATTTTAACAGAAGAGCTGACTTATTAACCACTTCTGTCAAAGGACCATATATGGACTCCCACAGCCATGCCACTGATTTAAGACACAAGGTAGAGCCAAAAGGCTCGCCCACATGGAAGAAAGGCAAAATATCATTACAGCTTAACACTGAAGACTTGTTTCAAGCCTCCTCTTAAAAAAAAAATCACTTGGTAACAGCTTTATTATCTGAAGACAAAAACAAGGCTTAAAATTCACTTAAGTGCTCAAACTTGTGCTCCATCAATATTTTATCCTTTTGTGGCCACAAATTTTAGAAGCAGAATACTAACAATGAACGAAAGGACAACTTTCACATACGCTAAAAATATCTGCTTAACCTTAAGTTAACAAGTTGTTTTTTGTAGAACTGTACAGAAATAATGTTGAGAGTAGTCACTATACGTCTAATAAATCACATCAGTCTCAGATTTAAGTACAAAAATTTCTACAATAGTTTTTAAAAAGAGAAATAACTAGTTAGCAAATTGAAAAGTATTTTAGGTTTTCTTAAATTTCAGCTGGAGATGTTTTCTAAAATGTTAAAATGGTCATATGTAAGATATACTAGTATTCTTTGGTTCCTTGCTCTAGATGACAAAAAATTGCCTACACACATATTCTCCCCTCTGAGAGCAAAGAAAAAGAACATTAAACCAAAATATAAAGCTAACATACAAAGGATTTAAAAATTTAAAAAGCACTGTATCTTTATTTGAAAACTTCTCTTAAATAACTTCCTGAACATGAACATAACTTCCTGCATAAAAGTAACACAATTGAGATGAAGTATTTGAAAAGATAATGCAATAAAGATTCTGAAATGCTAAATTCTCATTTCTATATAGAAATAGTCTCTTGTGGAGAAGCAATAAATTATAAATATCTTATAAAGTGTTCTTAGGTTGTTGGTTTCTGATTTGTGTAGGATGGATAATTTTGAAAACAAGAAAGTAGAATGAGCAGCAGAAATAAATTCAACTTTGGTGTCAAAGATGTTCTATGTGGTCAAAACCAGTTTTAGTATCTTGAAACCAGTAAGCAGAAAGTGTAAACTTCATTTCCATTTTAAGTCCCTCCTCAGGTATAGAGGCTAAAATATGCATTCTAGAACAGTAAAGGAAGGGCCCGATCTCTTTGTAGAGATTTTTGAACAGAGATAACAAAATCTAGACATAACATCATGCTTCATAAGTGAACTGAAGGAAAACATATGATAGAAAAAAATAACTTTGGGATAAATAGGGTAGCCATTATGTTTTCTCACCCTGAACTACAATTTTCTAAAAGTTACACTAGAAATCAATAATAAAATTACAGAAAATAGGTTTTTAGAATGTTTCAAGTAAACAAATCCATAATTTCTAGTAAAAAAGGAAAACCCATTAAAACACTCCAATACACACTACACCCTCCAGTGGGCAAACATCCATGGAAAAATATAAAAAGATTTAGTTGGATTTTCCACTCAGTTAAATCAGTCCTATAACTAATGAAATGATGGTTCTAAAAACCTCATAAAAGTTCACACTATTTTCATCACTTGTCTTAGTATCCGAATTAGAAGCAAAGATTTTTTTTAAATAACAATTTAAATCTTATAAAGGACTAATGTAAAAAAATAAAATCATGATCTGCTTATCTTTCCTTAAAAATCAAAGTGCTATCAGATTCTTATTTCTTTAACTTAGAAAAAGGTAAACAGAATAAATCACATATAAAAACGTACAATTAAAAGATAAAGTATCGTTTATATCATGAGCTGCAAAGGCCGGCACTAATATTTTAAAGCAAAATCCAAAAATTATGGTTCCTTAGTGAGAACTGTGGCAGAAAAGCAGTATGTTCATTAAGTTTTTCAGGAAAACAACTTACATTATCACCTGGTAATATTCAGTATTACTGGTCTCATGAGGCTATGTGGTCACTACACAGAAATATAAACACACTTAGAATAAAATTAAGAGACTACCTAAAAGAGCCCTTATTCTATATGGGAATGTTTCAGCATTTAAATGATATAATAGTAGCAAAGACTAGATTAAAAGTATTCCACAATGGTCCAATACCATTTCAAGTTTCTCCAATTTACAACACAATACAAAATACATATTTAATACATAAATCTAGAAATCATGTATGAAGATGTACATTTCCCAAAATGCATCAAAGAATTTTTGAATATATATACTCTAGGAAAAACTAGCACAACTAAGACTCCCTGAGGTCTTGAACTTAGTACAACTAGGATACGAGACTAGCAATTAAAGGATAACAGTGACATCTAGTGGACATTTCAAATATATACCACACATATGTTGGATCAAAACATTTTATTTCCAGGGTTTCACATATTTCAACCTGCCTGAGGAATTACATGACAAATCTTTAGTTTTAAACCAAAACAAGATGACTTTGCTCCCAAAAGGTTTCTCAATATGAGTTACCCAATCATGTGATAAATACAAAATATTTAAGAATTAAAGTATAAGAAGTGAATATCTCATCTTTAAAGCATTAAACACTAATTACATGTATTAATAGATGACTCAACGAAGGGCTAGCAAAAGGTCCAATATAATCATCATAATAAAAAGAACTTTAAGATTCTGAATGAAAAAAGCACTGGGGTGAATGAAGAAACTTACAAAGAAAATTAAGAGTTTATCTATTTATGCATTTATTCAAATATGGGAAGTATGTATTAACCAGTATGGGATCTCAGGTGAAATAGGAAATGTGTCTAAACTGAAAGAAGAATATCTTATCTACAACAATTTTTCAAAAACAGTTCTCAATTTATAGGATTGTTTTTTAAAAGTAAATGAAGATAACTTTATGAAACAAGACCAGGCAGTCATCTCAAAAAGTGACAAACTTACCTCAAAGAAGGATGAAAAAACAAGCCAAAAACAATATCTGTGGAGAATGTCCTTACTCTTATTTGTCAATACATAAGCAAATTTCACAAGAGAACAACACTGTGCTTAATGAGAAAATAATGAAAGTATACATGATTTTTATTAAGTATTTTATTACTAACTCAGGGAAGAAATATAAATGCAGAGACAGGATCTTAATATAAACAGTAAGTCAAATAAGAGTCCAGGCCACAAAGTAAGTGGAAGTCTTTCAGAAATCACAAGTGCTTCTCAGACCTCTCAGAACCACCTAACTCAAAAGATTTGAATGATTATTTGAGCTCAACGATTTTCTGACAAGAAAAAATGCTAACGCCAGAACTTAACAAGTATACAGTTCAAAATCATTGAAAATATCTCTGAAATATAAGTATTAGGGGACTAATAAAATTCAGGTCACAAAAGCCCTGTCCTAATAACTTCAAAAAGTTATAGAGAGGATAAATAAATTGTGGTATATTCAAACAATGGGCTACAACTCCATAAAATCAGCCAAACTGATCTATGGGATAAATGAATGAACGAATACATAAACAAACAAAATCACAACAACAGTTACCTCTGAGGGTAGGATGGAAATGGAGATAGACTGGGAAAAGGGATATGAGGGAATTTTCTGGGGTGATGGAAATGTTCTATATCTTAATAGGAGCTGGAGTTAAACAAATGCATTTGCCAAAGCTCACCAAATAACATACTTAAGATCTCTGCAAAATTTATATAAATTTTACCTTAAAAAATGAACGTTAAGCAAATATTAATAGCTCCACCAGTTATCATACACCATGCTGAAGTATTTGGGGTGATATGTACAGATATCTGCAACTTATTTTGAAATGCATGTAAAAATTACACGGATTGATGGACAGATTATAATAAAGTAAATATAACAAAATATCAACAATTAGAGAATCTAGGAGCTAAGTATATGAGGCTCACTATATAATAAATATATTAAAATATTGGAAGAAAATAAAGATGACAATCAGAATTCAAAAGAAAATTAAAAATATTAAAAAGAATTAAAAATGTTTTCTTAAATATTAACAATTTTCCCTTTATATATTAACATTTAACCTGCTAATCTAATGTCAAATGAGATTATCCTCTAAAGAGCAACAGTTACAGGATAACATATTTTTAAAAACGTGAAAGACATACCCGAATTTCTTGAAGGTTGTGAAAATTATTTCCTACTCTGACTGAGATCTTGCTTGGAGTATAGCTTTCATCAGATTTGTAGTCCGCATAAATACATAATGTCTTCACAGTTGTTTTTCTTCTAAAAGCAATTAAGGTAAAAACAACATGCCCTTTATCATGTGGAAAGATTATATCCAAAACACCTTCTGATTTTAAAAATCACAGTTTGCTAAAACAAGTATTTGAATCAACAACTTCCAAATCCTTTAATTTTAACAGGATGAAAATGAAGAACATGTAAAAATACAGATACATATTTACTTATATAGACGTCTCTTATCTAGAACATGGTCAAGAACCAGATGTGAGCAAAGAAGGAAGAGTTAAGCCAAAATAGCTACCTTAGAGTGCAAACAACATAAAGGATTTCAGTCCTCTTGATTTGTATTTCAGGCAAAGAAATTATTCTAATAAGCTTGGGGTCTTTTACTAGTTAATTACTTAATTTCCTATGTTAATACTTGAAAATAACTACCTAAGCGAGAAATTAAGTCAAGCAAAGAGAAAAGTACTTTTTTAAAAACAGGAAGTATAATCTATTACTTAATGCAAAAAACAGAATTCTGTTGTTTTTAAAATACATATCTTAGGAAGATAAGCAAAGACTATATAACAGAAAATTAATCTCGGAAAAAATCCAAGTGGCCAAAAACCATGAAAATGTGTTCAATCTCTAATAATCAAAGCAACAGAAATTAAAAGACACATAGACATTAGTTTTATCATACTGGAAAATATCAAAATGACTGATAATACACGAATTTAATTAGAAAAGGTACTTTCATAGCCAGTTAGTAGGTACACAGCCTTTGACCCACAAATTCAACCTCTAAGAATACACTAAAAGATAATAAAACAACTACTCAGAAATGGATCAGATAAAAGTTTATTGTCCTGCAGTTAAATTACTAAAAAATTATAAACAACCTAAATATCCATTTCAATAGGGAATTAGTTAAATAAATTATAATATATCCATTTGATAAAATACTATACAACTGTTTAAAATAATCACGTAGATATATAATTACAGTAGGAAAAAAGTAGATTATAAAACAGTATATACAGAGGAGTATATTTTGGGGAAAACTAAAAAATTTTTAAAGAAATATAAACCTATATGTATGTATGGAAAAAGACATAGAATCATACAAAAACAGAAAAAGTGGCTACTTTAGTGGGGTGGAACTATGGGAAATCTTTATTTTCTTCTTTACGATTTCTATAATTTCTGAATCATTTTTACAATAAGCAAGTGCTATTCTGTTGATTAGAGAAAAAAACAGATAATTTTAAACATCAGCCAAAAAAACCATTAAGAAGTCTATTTAAATGTGCTTTAAAAGTTAAGTCTGGTATAAACTGGCACTAACTTAATAACAATGAGCTCCTTGAACAGAAGCAGTCTGGGTCAAGTCAGCCTATAAAAACAGCAGGGGATCTGCGGCTCTTAGAGAGGGGACCAAACTTCTGTAGACTGAGGTATTCATCAGAAAGGAATGGGGAAAGTTAAGGACTTTTCCTCAAATAATAAAGACAGATCAAGATGTAAAATGCTAAATACCCAGGAACTGCTGACAGGATAAATACCATTACCAGGTTTTCAAAAGAGGCCAGAGGTATCAAACTGACATCTTTCTCCTTCTGCTGGGCCAGGAAGAAGGCATGAGTGGGAGCAAAGGAAGAAGGGGAAATTCTGGAGTGCATACCAAAGATCTCTTCCCTGAAGAGCCCTGAGCGGGCACTGAAAGGTCTTTCTTATTTTGGAGAGATCAAAGATCATGAAGATTACTCCTGAGGACTTTTTTCTCTTTTTTTTAACAGAAGCAGATCTAAAGGACCAAGCTTTTTGCTCAGAACAATTTTATTTCCAAGTTATTAAACTCAATAACTTAGTCATTGGAAACTACAAGATGATCAGGGTGAGGTTAGAAAGGCAAAGAATAATAACACTAATGATTATAAAAACAATAGCAAAAGAGGCAAATAGCAGGTGAATGTTCTGTATCTGGCCCAGAAGTAATGCTTAAATATATTATCCCATTTACTCCCCAATCTTGTGACACAGGAACTATTACCACCTCCATTTTACTGATTTTTTTTTTCTTTGGAGGAAGATTAGCCCTGAGCTAACATCCACCACATCCTCCTCATTTCTGCTGAGGAAGATTGGCCGTGAGCTAACATCCATGCCTATCTTCCACTACCTGTGGGACACCTGCCACAGCATAGCTTGATAAGTAGTGCATAGGTCTATGCCCAGGATCCAAACCAGCGAATCCCAGGCCACTGAAGCGGAGCACCTGAACTTAACTGCTACGCTACCAGGCTGGCCCCTGATTTTTTTTTTTTTTAAATAATAATGCTCAGTGGTTAATAACTGGCTTAAGGTCAAAAAGCTAGCAGGTGGACACAGTCAAAGTTCAAAGGTGTGCTTGTCTGCTTCACGTGATCTTAACCACTATCCCCTTCCTATTAATTAACTGTACTTAGCTTATTCAACAGTCAGTGATACCAGTTTACAGTAAGATGCATAGTTCTTTAAATGTTATCTACACCATGGGTTCTCATTCTAAGGTCCACATATCCCCAGAAATCATATATAATTTATGATACATACATAGTTTTATTATATTTGCAAAAGAAACTGTAACCAAACCAAAAGTTTAAAATTATTCCTCTAAAAGGTACCCATAAAGCCTTTTAAAATGATTTATCAATTTTATCTCACAGTAAATTTATAAAAGAATATTGCATAGAAAATCACGCTGTTTGTCAATAGCAATGCACATGGGAAGATGGAATGCATGGATTATGACACAGCGGAAGCTACTCAAATTATCATAATAATAATAATCACCATACTCTGAACGCTTACTACATGCCAGGCATCACGCTGAACTCTTAGAATAAGGAATAGCATAGGAAGGGAGAAGGAAGAGGATAATACTGCCCCATTTCTGATGACATAAGGAACACTCCCAGCCTCTCTCTATCCCCTCCCCCACTACTCCCTTTCGGCTGAGAAAGAGCTGCTGGCAGGAAGCAAACATTTGCTTTGATCCTTCATGTCGCAGATTTAATAGGGACAGGCTCTACTTGGTCCAGCACTTTCATAACTGGATGGGTAAGTCTGTTTAATTCTAGAGTTCAATATTAGGAAACACACTTGACTGCAGACACAAGCCCCTTTCTCAAAGATCATCTTTGTCAGTTTTATAAGGGTCTTATTTTGTTCTCCACCTGCTGATTTGGAACCCATGAAATTGCAACAGAAGACATTAGCAGCAGATACTCCTAGGTGCCAACAACCTAACAGCCCTTTTTTCTTTCTTCATAACATCCAGCTAAAAGACTATATTCCCCAGCTTCCCTTAAGGCTGGGTATGACCATGTGACTAATTTATGGCCAGTAATATTTAAACCAAATGGCTGTGTCTTATAAAGAAAGTTTCTTTAAAAGGAAGACATGTCCCTTTTACCTTTCCTACCTACTCCTTCCTGCTGCCTGGGATATGGACATGATGGGTGGAATTCCATTAGGCATCATGGATCATGAGATAATCTTAAGAATAGAACCCATGAGCTAAGAATGGTGGAATGGAAGGAGAAGAAATGTGGGTCCCAATACACTAAGAGGCTACCATACCACTCCTGGACTGCCAGGCTCCTCTTATAGGAAGAGGTAGAAGAAATAAATTTCCACTTTGTTTAAAACACTGTTATTAGAAGCTCTATTACTGGAAGCTCTCACTCCCATTTAAAGTAGCATTCTTATGTCCACATTACAGATGAGGAAACTGAGGCTCAGATCAGGTTAAGCAAGTAGTTCTTATTTACATATCTAATAAAGCACAGAGCCAGAATTTGAATCTAGGTTTGCATGACTACACTTACATAAAAGTAACTACTAATTCCTGAGGTACAAGACTTAAAACTAAAAATAAAATAGTCATAAAATTCTGTTTATCATTTCATGTTAACATGCTAGATACATTCTTACCAAAAAACTGTGACATAAAAGAAACATAAAGAGTCCACATATTTGCCTAAAACAAAAAGCAAACAAATCATTTAATATATAAATGACTGAATTCTCCTTTGTTTCTGGTACATTGATGGAAAATGCCCTCTTTGTGTAAAAGTATGTTTCTAATCAATGTTAATAAGATGCTAAAATGAAAGTTTTCACTGAAGATTAACACAACAAAGACCTATTTTAATAGGACCTATTTTCATAGGACATATAAGAGTTTAATGTAAAACTTTCAGCAGATATAAACAAACAGACAAAAAGTCAGGGATGTCTGCCCATGAAGGAATAACTGTCACAGGACTTGCCCTCCCGCCATAAACAAATAGAATACTAGACAACAGATACAAAGCACTGTCTGTAGACACTGAACGACAGGCAGCACAGGGCTATGAGGCCTGAGAGAAAGCAAACGGATGAGGTGAACCCTATGAACAAACGGGCTTTCTAACTGATGGCAATTTCTGGACTGCAGTGCAGGGAGGGAAAAGCCTAACAGAACCTTCAGTGTCACCAAGTTGAGAAAGGAGCTATACTGAGAAAAAACTCCAGCAATCTGCACAGAGTCCCTTGAGCCTTTGACTGAATACCAACCAGCACACACATAAGGTGAAACCTGACAAAGACATGCAAAGAACAGCAGCTGCTGGGGAAAGAACAATTACTGGAAGCAGTAAGCCAAACAATTCCCAGAGGTCACATAGGGTAGAGAATCATTAGGGGTCCCAACAACCAAAGTGGAGAGTCCAAATATCTCTTCAAATATCTAGGACATTCATTTGAGATCCCCGAAGGGTCAAGCCCTAGTATACCATGAGGCTAATTTTGCCCAAGAGAAGTGATCTTAAAAAGTGGTCGAGGGACCTAAGGGGGACCTCAAGACCCTTTCAGGAGATCAACAAGGTCACAACTATTTTCCTAATAATACTAAGATGTTATTTGCCTTTTTCAGAATCATTCTGAGTACAGAGTGAAGTTTTCCAGATGCTATTTGGCACAGGATGTTGCAAAAGATTTAATGAAGAAGCATATATGAGACTCCAGCCATCTTCTCTGAAGCCAGACACTAAAAAGATTCACAAAGTAAAATAACACTCTTCTCACTATTTTTGTTTGCTTTGGAAGAGACAGTTATTTTTTCCTTAAAAAAAGTTATTTATGTTAACATATAATAGGTTAATTACCTAATTTTGATGAATAAATAAATACTTTAAAATTCCTCAGCTAGAATTTCTAATATGGTAAATACTGATAGATATAAAAAATAAAAGATCTTCAGGGGCCAGCCTGGTGGCACAGCAGTTAAGTTCACACATTCTGCTTTGGCAGCTCAGGGTTCGCCAGTTTGGATCCTGGGTGCGGACCCATGCACCACTTATAAGCCATGCTGTGATAGGCGTCCTGCATATAAAGTAGAGGAAGACGGGCATAGATGTTAGCTCAGGGCCAAACTTCCTCAGCAAAAAGGGGAGGATTGTTGGTGGATGGTTAGCTCAGAGCTAATCTTCGTCAAAATAAATAAATAAATAAATAAAAATAAAAGATCTTTGGAGAACTCAATAAAAGTTTAAAGTGGTACTGAAACCAAAAACTTGCAGAACCGCTGCCCTAGAGCAGGGATCAGCAAACCACAGCTCACAGGCCAAATGTGGCCTGCCATTTATTGTTGTAAAAAAACTTTTATTATAACAAAGCAATACTCATTCACTTACATACTATCTACAGCTGCTTTTGCACCACAATGACCAAGTTGAGTGGTTGCAATAGACTAAAATATGGTTTGCAAGGCCTAGAATATTTACCATCTATCCTGTTACAAAAAGTTTGCTGACCCCTGCCCTAGAGTAAAGGGTATTCTAGACCCACCATAAAAAGCCTTAAAATCAAGCCTCAAAAAGGTCAAGTTGATTCTTAAGTAACTTAACTGTCTGCCAGAACAAAGTCTAAGCCTCTTTAAAGAAAAACTCCAGCACTCAACAAGGTAAAATTTACTATATCCAGTATCCAGTCAAAAATTACTATGAAGAATCAGAAAAATATGACCCATAATGAGGAAAAATAAGTCAATAAAGACAGATATAGAAAAGACAAGAGATGATGAAATTAAAAGATAAGGACTTAAATAGAGAAAACATAAATATCTACCTATAGGTGTATATAACAAACCACTTTAAAACTTAGCAGCTTAAAAAAATCATTATTTTGTTTAGGAATCTTGAATTTGGGCAGGCCTCAGAAGGGAAGGCTCCTTCACAGTGTCAGGTGTGAAGGATCTACTTCCAAGATGGGTCACTAATATGGCTGGCAAGTTGGTGCTGGTTGTCAGCTGGGAGCTTAGCTGAGGCCTTGGGCTCTGGTTCATTTCTTTGTGGGCTTCTTCATTTGATGTAGGTTTTCTTACAGCATGGTAGATGAGTATCAAGGGAGAGAATCACATAAAAAGAGAGTGAACAAGGCAGAAGTTGTATCGCGTTTTATGACCCAGTCTTAGAAATAAGTGTTATAACATCAAAACTCTATTAGGCAAGAAATTCACAAAGACTTGACAATTTCAAGGGGGAAGACAGATGTCCTCTCTTGATTAGGTTGTAGGAGAGCACGTGTAACTGGAAATAATGTGAGCATGCTGGAAAATATGTCATAAATATGCTCAAATAATTAAAAGAAAACATGAACGCAATTAGAGATGAAAGATTTAAAAAAACAAATAGGATTTCTGGGCATGAAAAAGAAATCTGAAATAAGAAATTCACTAGATGAGATTAATAGTAGTTTAAACATTGCAGAAGACAGTGAATATAATGATATAGCTATAGAAACTCTGCAAAATGAAGCATAGAAAACAAAACACTCTCATCCCTCATTAAAATGAATAGAATATCAGTGGTCTGTGAGACAGTATAAAACAGAATATG